GTAGTGGGATTAAGGCTTTGTTGTTGTTGTTGTTGTTGTTAACTTTAAAAATGAACCAAACACTATTCTGAATTTATAGTATTTGGATTTTATAAACTCCAGATTTACCGGATTTATTAAATCTTATTTAATGTAAATCCCATATGCAACCAAGCACCCCCATAGATGAGCTAACTATGATTTATTTGAAGTTTTATATGATAAGATCAGTGCTTTTCTAATATGCAAGGATTTGTGGTTTTCAAGGTAGGCTCGAGCAGCAGAAAAGTCGCAAATTATTAGAATATACTATCTCAAAAAATAGAACCAACATAGACTTATGCTCAATCATGAGAATCAATGGAACACAAAATAGTTATACAGACATTTACCTTTTGAACATTTCAAAGAGAGAAAAATGTGTCATCTTTAAGAATAGAATATACTTACGCTACGAACTCAAAGAATAAATATATGTAATTAGAAATAATTAAAGTTTTTTCTTAATGTATGATATTAAATTGATTTTATTTTTAATCGGGCTATCAAATTTCCCATAGATACAAGATTTCAAGATTAATTGAATTTTGGGTGATGAGCCTAATAATAATTTTAATTAAAGGTGTTCATTCTTTTTTTGGCCTTCGATTCATAAGAGATTTACATGAAATAGAGCATGAGAGAGAATAGAGAAAAGAGAGATAGGAAGAAAGCGAGAGAGGGAGAAGAAAGAAAGCGGAAAGAGAAGGGAGAGAGAGCGAGAGCTAGAGAGAGGTAGAGAAAGAAGAAAGAGGGATGGAAGGACACGGAGGATCGAAGAGAGTGAGGGAGGGAGAGATGGAGAGAGAGATGGAGAGAGATAAAGTGAGAAAGAGAGAGAGAGAGGAACAGAGAAATAGAAAGGGAGAGGAGATTGGGCGAGTGAGGGAAAGAAAGGGAAGAGAGAGAATAGAGAGTGAGAAAAAGGAGAGAATGAGAGTAAGGGAGGGAGAGAGGGGTAGGAGACGGAGAGGGAGAGGGAGAGGGAGAGGGAGGGAGGGCAAAATAGAGGGCAAGAGAGAGATAAAGAGAGAGATGGACGGAAATTGTGAGAGAGAAGAGGGAGTAAGACAATAAACTAGTGAGAAACAAATAGAGACAGATGGAGAGAGTGAGAGAGAGAAGAGAAGAGAGAGAAAGTGAGAAAGGGAGAGAGAGGGAAGGTGGGAAGGCGGCAAGTGAGAGGGAGAGAGGTAGAGAGAGAGGTAGAGAGAGAAAAAGAGAGGGAGAGGGAGTCAGGGTGAGAGGGAGAAAGAGAACTTAGAGAAGTGTTTGAGAGAGGGCATAGAGTCAAAGACAAGAGAGAGATAGAGGGTGGGAAAGCAAAGAGATAGACGAGAGAGAGAGAGAGCGAGCCAGAGAAAAAACAAGAAAAGATAAGAGAGATGGAGGGAAGGAGAGAGGGAGGGAGCATGCAAGTGGGAGAGCAAGAAAGAGAAGAGAGATAGAGGGAGAGATACCGTGAGATAGAGAGCTAGAGAGAGAAAGAGAGAGTGTGGGAGAGCAAAGAGATAGAGAAGGAGAGGGAGAGTGAGCCAAAGGGAGTGCAAGAAAGAGTAGAGAGAAAATGAGCAAGAGAGAGATACAGGGAGGGAGTGAGAGAGTAAGCAAGAGTGATAGCGAGAGAGAGATAGAGAGTGAGAGATCAAAGAGATAGAGAGAGAGAGAGAACATGTAAGTAGGAGAGCAAGAAAGAGGAGAGAGAGAAGAGAGCAAGAGGGAGGAGAGAGAGAAGAGAGCAAGAGAGAGATGGAGAGAGAGCGTGAGAGCTAGAGAGAGCAAGGGAGGGAGAGAGGGATGGAAAGAGAGAGGGAGGGTGGGAGCGAGGGAGATAGAAAGAGAAACCCAAAAAGAAAGCAAAAAAATGACCAAGTGAGAGAAAGAGCGAGAGAATAAAAAAAGAGAAAAGAGAGCAAGCTAGAGTGAAAAAGAAA